GGTAACTGGGATTAGAGTGGCAGATGCCAGGGTTTGAACCCAGTTCAGCTGTGTATAAGGCAAACACCCTACCTGCTGTACTATCACTCTAATCCCATGAATCAATAATAATCATAATAATAATCAATGAACAATATTATTATTGTTCCTCCTGGCTCTGCACCAGTAACGTCTCCTTCATCCTAGCCCCGAGACTAAAAAGTGACACATTCAAGGCTCTTTCAGGGTTAGGAGAATGAGACCCATCATTGTTACTGGTATTTGGCATACTGGGTACGCCACGGGGAGTTTGCCAGAATACAGGGCTGCAGCAGATTGTGGGTGTGTGCGCGTGCATGTGTGCACGCACAAGCACACACACATATGCAGACACGCACATGCACGCACATGCACGCACACGCACGCACACACACGCACACGCACCCATGCACATGCACGCACACACACAAATGCACACGCACACATACTCATGCACACACAAACGCACATGCACACATACGCATGCACATGTACACACGTGCACACACAAGCACACATATGCACCCACACACATGTGCATGCACACACAAATGCACATGCACACGCACATGCATGCACAGGCACACACACAAACACACACACACACACAAACACACAGACACTTCCTGGCTCCACCGTACACAAAGGCACTGACATGAAGAGAGACTCCTGCCAAGCCTGGCCCAGGATCTTCCCCAACCCCTCAGTCTTCAGCCCCACGATTCCAGCGAGGGAGCAGCTGACAGTTTCACAGCCAGTAAAGCCAAGCGGAGCCGGAGCAGCCCAACTCTCCACCCCAGGGCCCTCCGAGCACGCGGCGGGGAGGAAAGGGAGGCGCAGAGTATGGGCAGCTTCACACATGACCCGCTGTGACAGAGAGAAGGGATCGGAGCTGCGTCCCTAACTCTCGGGCCACTGTCCTCTTGGCTGACGACGCATCCCGGTGACTTAGCCAAGGAGGATCAGTGAGCCGAGTCCAAGGCAGGAAGGGAACAGAGCGGCGAGGTGAAGGCTGCCTCCCCCAAGGCCTGACCCAGTTGCAGCGGAGACGAGGCCTGGGCCCTCTGCCCTGCCGTCGCCCCAGAGGAAGCCTCGGCGTCCACGCCACTGACTTCCGGGCGGCTGGCACTGCCACGTGACCACCAGGAGGAAGCGGTTTCCGTGTCCTGCGGCCGACGCACGGGGTCGTGCAGGAAGCCGTGGCAAGATGACACAGACCATCTGTCTGTGCTGAAACCCCACAGGACTTGCTGGCAGCCTGCGCTGCAAGTGAAGTTCCCGGGGCAGCGCACGGGCTCTGAGTTCTGCCTTCCCTCTGCACATCCTCCAGTGCCAGGCCATGGACGAGCTGAGTCAGGTCCACTGTGCGCCACTGGCCTCGTCCTTCACTCTGTCCCATTTCCTTCCGAGCCAGTCATTAGGGGCTGAGGCTTCCCTGAGTCTAATTTCACTCCACAGGCTTTCTTTTTTTTTTTTTCTTTTCCTTTTTGGGTCATACCCGGTAATGCACAGGGGTTCCTCCTAGCTCTGCACTCAGGAATTACTCCTGGCGGTGCTTGGGGGACCATATGGGATGCTGGGAATCGAACCTGGGTTGGCTGCATGCAAGGCAAATGCCCTACTCACTGTGCTATCGCTCCAGCCTCCACAAACTTTCTTATTTAGGCCACATCTTCCTGTGGCCTCACCCAGGCCCCTATTGGGGTGGCACCCTTGAGGGCGAAATCCAACAGTGCTGATTCTAGACACAAGGGAGCTGGGAGAGTGGCGAGAGGGATGGGGAGGCCCTGTACGAAGCCTCTACTCATCAGCACTGTGGTCACTCGCTCATGGCTGGCAGCCACGCACCAGGGCCCGGCTGGCCAGGCCTTCCCGTCTACGGCAGGGACCATGTGTGAACAGGTGGAGGGGCAGGCGTGCAGCCTGGGACGGTGCTCCTGGTGGACAGACCCGAGAACGCGTGGCTGGTTCCAGCTGGGTCTGAAGGGTGGGGCAAGCGCCGACCCGAGCCTCCTTGATTAGCTCCATCCAGCTGGAGCACCTGAGTCCTCCCTGAGCAGGGGCCCAACCAGCCTCGTGCCGGCACTGCCATAGTCACCGACATCCCGAGTTTCTCTGTGTGGAAGGAAGAAGGGATGTGAGTGATGGAGTGCCTCTCACCCCCGTACTTCTAATCACTTTGGGGAGGGGGACTGAAAAGGAGAAGAGACATTTCAAATGGCATTTTCATTTTGATGGTTTTTTTTTTCTGTAATCATGAGAAAAAAAAAAACAAGAGAAAGGGAGGGGAAGAAAAAAAAGCCATCGGATTCCTTCAGCTTGGAAGAGGCAGGCGAGGTAATAGGATTCTGGCCTGAAAGTCAAGCTTCCCGAAAGCCACCTCCTCCTCGCCGGCAGCAGCGGCTGCCAGAAATGTACGTGGCAGAAGATAGGAGCGACTCGACCAGGGGTGGGGAGCACGGCTAAATTTAACTAGGTTCAACTCGAGGAAGAAAGGGAGAGAGTGTGAGAGTGAGTGAGAAAGAGGAGAGAGAGAGAGAGAGAGAGAGAGAGAGAGAGAGAGAGAGAGAGAGAGAGAGTCCAGGGACAGGGTGCGCACATGAAAGTCTTGTTTATTCCCCAGCCTGCAAGGGGCCACCCCCCAGAGAGGAAGGGGGAGCCCCATGCCATCCTCTCTTTTGTGAAGTGTTAATTAAGGAAACAAATGCCTTCTCATTTTTTAATTTGCTATATCGAACTGCAAAAATATACAGCCCTGACCCGAAGGATAAACTGATCCCATGTAAAGATATGCCCCAGGTTTTAGATCCCTGCTAACCGTTGGGTCTAAAGAATCAAGTTTAATGGCTCCAGGGTGAACTACAACAATCTTCACACGCTTTCCTCTAAGGAAAACTTTTTTTGGGATCATTTTTAGCCGATTATTCCTAACCAGCAATACAAAATAAATTATTTAGGTCCTGCTTTGGGGGCAGGGGTGGAAACATTGGAAATGTGGTGGGAAGGTGGAATGGTGGTGGGATTGGTGTTGGAATATTAAATGTAATAAATTATTTAACTTGATAAAAATAAAATTAAATTAAAAAAATCAAGTAAAAAGGTATTTATTTTGGGGCTGGGAATCGCACAAGGACCCTGCTAACTGCACTGCACTACGAGCCCCAGGCACGCTGGGGTGACCCTGGGGTATTCTTGGGTCTAAGCACTAAAACTAACTGACCCAGTTGCCCAAGTTATCACTGGGGACGGCTTCCGAGTACCCTGAGCACTTGCCCGGGAACCCTCTCCCCTGCCAGAAAACACATGACCTTGTGGAGACTGCGACGTTTGTGCTCAAGTGCACACGCTGAGCAGATGTGATAAGGCCTTGGGCTCCGTCCCACAGAGCATCGGGTGTGTGGTCCTCAGCCTCCCCCCCCCCCCCCCCGCCCCGGGAAGGATTCTGGTACCACCACCAGCATCACACAAACTACCATGCGTGCTCCAAGTGCCAATGGCCTGAGCTGGGCACAGACACAGGGAAGGGCTGTTCCTGAGAATGGGGAGACCCACTGTCCTGTGAAATGGCGCTCAATGGCAGATCGTCACAATCCACCCACTCCAGAACCCCATCGAGGGCCCCAGTTCAAGTCCGGTGTGCTGTTCTGTTTGCTACCAAGGGCTCTGTGGTGACGGCAGCTCAAGGGCAGGGGAAACACACGCTTAGCTCCAAGGCAAACGCTCACCCAAACGCACTGGCATTTGAGGAAACCCCTGGTCCCACCCAACGCTCGCAGGGTTTGGGACTCTCTTCCTCCAACATTCATCACCCCACACTCGCGACATGTCAGGGACTCTCTGTTGCCTTCCTGCGCATTCTGCTTCCACCTCAACTCTGGAGACCAGCTCTGCAATGCCCAAATGGAGACAGCTGGGACCGGGCAGAGGCCTCTGACGTACGGCACATGCCTTGCACGTATGAGGGGTGAGACTCTATGTCCGGCACCATAAGAAAAAGACGGATTAAAAAATAATGTGATAAAAATCAAAATGGAAATTGTTGTTGAAGTAGAGGTATAACTCATGGGATTTAGTCTGAAATCTTTCCTCTCTTTTTTTCCTCTCTCTTTTATTTATTTTTTGCTTTTTGGGTAAACCCGGCAATGCACAGGGGTTACTCCTGGCTCTTCACTCAGAAATTACTCCTGGTGGTGCTCAGGGGACGATATGGGATGCTGGGAATCGAACCCAGGTTGGCTTTGTGCAAGGCAAACGCCCTACCCGTTGTGCTATCGCTCTAGCCCGCCCCTCCCTCCCTCCCTGCCTGCCTGCCTGCCTGCCTGCCTGCCTGCATCACATCTGGTGATGCTCAGGGGTTACTCCTGGTGGTGCTCACAGACCATATGGGGATGCTGGGGATCAAACCAGGGTCAGCTGTGTGCAAGGCAAACACCCTACCCGCTGTCACTCCGGCCCCTAGTTTGAAATTTTTCATAAGAAGGGTTGCAGAACCTTAGAGCGTTAACACAGAGTGTAACCAAGTGATCATTAAAACAAAAATAATGAAACGGGAAAAAAATAATTAAAAAAAAAAGGTTGAAGAACATAAATGCTACAACACAAGGTATCTGACTACCCTGAGGATCTCCCTCCCCTGAGGTGGGGATTGTCTCTGCTCTATCCCTGCTTAGCAGAGTTAAGGAATCTTCCAGAACTTGCCCCTTCACGAGACTGGACCTAATGCAAGTTCCCCCTTCCACCTGCCTCCTGGCGCGCAAGCTCACAGCGCACCTTGATCTTCTTGGATCTGTCTCATGTCTTCAATGAGATGACAAAGGGAGGCCGAGAAGCTCAAGTATAAACCTCACTTCCAGGATTCCTCCCCCCACCCATGCCCTCCTGGCTGCACCCTACCAAACATGTAACAAGAGCTGGGAGAGCAGGAAGGGATGAGATGAGCAAGGAAAGTCGCCTGTGCTCCTCTGACTCGGCCCTTCTCGTACCTTCCTCGTGGTTCTGATGCAGCAGGACTTCCGTCTGGGTGTGGAGAGAGTTTCCGGGATGGAAGAAAGGCGAGAAGAGAATCCGAGGTTTCCTCTGCTTCAGAATATGCTGAAGGAGTTCATACAGAACATCGCCTGGCAGGGCAAAGGAAAGAGGCATTGAGACGCGGGAATATTCTCACCAACCCCTCGGTTTTTCACTGAACTTGGCACTGCCTGGCACAGCCAAACCTACTTTCACAGAGTCCTGGGGCCAGGAGGGGCATCTCACGTGCAAAGTCGCTACTGAGCAGTTTGCTATCTTCCCCACTCCCCTTGCTTTTTGGGTCATACCTAGCGATGCTCAGGGGTTACTCCTGGCTCTGCGCTCAGGAATTATTCCTGGAGGTGCTTGGAGAACCATATGGGATGCTGGGGATCGAACCTGGGTTGGCCGTGTGCAAGACAAATGCCCTGCCCGCTGTACTATCGCTCCGGCCCCTCATTCAGTTTTTTGACTATATTACTGCTCTAAATTTATGTGAAAAAATATCTTTGTCACGACCTTCTTGGTGCATGTCAACGATTAAGTAAAATAAAAGTAAAGGCCCTCCCGTTGATCATCGATTTGCTCGAGCGGGCCCAGTAACGTCTCCATTGGAGACTTTGTTGTTACTGTGTCTGGCATATCAAATACTCTCGGTAGCTTGCCGGGCTCTCCGAGAGGGGTGGAGGAATCGAACTTGGGTCAAGGGGAGGAGCGATAGCACAGCGGGTAGGGTGTCTGCCTTGCACGCAGCCAACATGGCTGACCCGAGTCAACGATTAGTCTCAGAATTAACGAAGTCATTAAGCATGAAACTACAAATGCAAGAGAGAGAGAGAGAGAAGAGAAGAGAGAGAGAAGACTTCTTCAATTCCAGGCAGAATGAGAATAAATACGAAGTGGGGGTTGGGTGGGGGATTTTTGCAGAGTCCGGTCAGAGGTGCTAACAACCGAAGCCACCCGAGGAGGAACTGGCACATTCCAGGATGCCTCCCTCCCTCCTTTAAAAATACACCCAGGAACTGTGCCAAGCTTATGAGCCAGCCTCCTGCTGCCAGTGAGGGCCGGTCTGCCTGGGGAGGAGGCGGGGGGGCGCCTGTTCGATACAGTCGGTATTTGAAGTGTCCACTGAGTACTTAATTATCAAAGAACCTGTCATGCTCCTGGCCCACCCCTTTGTCGAAGATCCAAGTTCAAAACGCAGGTGGGTGCCTCCAAACCCCTTGGGCTTGGTGATTAATCTTTGAAATACCACAGGCTTCTCACTGTGCCCCTACGCCTTTCCACAGACAGGAATGCAGTCAACAATTGTACCAAACAATGGGCTTTTGTCTCTAATTTTAGCCATTTTTAAAAACCAGATACTTAAATTAACAACTTCATTTAACTGCATATTTTGGGCTGTAGATATTGCTAATTTTTTCCTCCCCTTTTCAACTCAAGCTTGAACCTGAGAATCGCTCCCTTTTAGTTTCTTTCTGCAAACCCTACTCCAGCACATCAGTACACAGGAAGATTCCAGCGCCCCCCCCCCCCCCCTCGTCTTGCTTCCCGAGGGGCCCAGGTAGCTCTGCCAGGACCTTGTTCCTTTCCCTACTTTGACATTTGATTATCCACTGAACTCATTGCCATTATTGACTGTTCTGCTGAAATGAAGTCAGACCCGACGGAGGCGAAGACATCGAGTAACCCGAGCTTTCCCTTTCGGTGAAATGGGCAAGGCTTACAGGTGCTCTGAACCAGACAAGAACATTCTGGATAGCACAGGACCCTGGCACACACCATTGCCTTTTGGAGCTGGGAAGGTTTCAAAAATCTAATTCAAACCTAGTAGTCATGGCAATGTCGTCTCTGATGAGATGAGGAAACGGAGCCTGAAATACAGTCCTATTTTAATGGTTCATATTTTAATCGCTTACAAAAATAAGTCCTTAATCAACACTTTTTTTTTTTTTTTTGGGGGTTGACTGCTGTGCCTTGCTGAACTTTCCTAGTCTTAAACACTCCCGGGGTTTTGTCCTCCGGGTTTGAGGAACTCTTTTTATTTTGGTGGGATGCAGAAGAGACCAGCAAAGCATGGAGAGAAAAGCATTCCTTATGATTACTATTACTAAAATGGAAGGAGAAAGGTCAGTCATGAACGCATCCACTCTGGAAGGGGTGAGGTGGGGCGGGGAACTATGAATGCAGTATCTGTGAGGGTGCTCTGGGCGGGTGGGGGCGTTGCTGCTGGGGTGGGGGGTGGGCAGGGAGGGGGACACACTGCAGATGCAGGTTGCCAGTGGCACTGTGGCCCTGAGTAAGCACATGAGCCCAGAGGCAAAATGTAAGTGACAAAAGTGACATCAGAAATCTGCTGGAAGGCGGCGGAAACAGGGAGAAGGTTTGGGGGGGTGAGGCTTAACTGGGGGTGGGGGTGGGTTCCTGATGTTGGAAAAATCTCCTGCAAGGGGGAGGCGGGGCAAGGAGGGTTAGCCGAGCTCCCAGGGGGGTTAGACAAGCTCTTAGGAGTGAAGAAGGTTCCCGGGGGGTGGAGCCGCTTCTGCGCCCTAGATCCGGGGTGCCCCCTCCCTCCTTCCCAACAGTTCTCAGTGCTCATGGGGAAGCAGAGAGACGGGCAGACCGGCTGCTCCGACCCCATGCTCTGGAGGACCGATTCAGCAAACACACAAGGCTGCTCGGCCGGAGTGTGGACCCAGGCCCCAGGACGAAGGCCGGGAAAGAGGGGGAGGGGAGAGGCCACTCCTGTGTGAATCCACCCCTAGAAAGGTTTCCTTAGCACCCAGAGCTGCAGAGGACGGGCCAGTTGGTCAGGGGCCTAAGGCGCAGGGCTTGAATGCACCTGAGCTGGCTTCCATCCCAAGAACCACATGCTCCCCCGAGCATCACCGGTGCAGTTTTGGAGGCCCCCAGAAACCCAGGAGGGTGGCCTGGGAAGTCCCCGGCTCACAGGGTCCACTAACAAGGCACTGCCAGCAGGTTGCTAGAACATTTCTCTCTCTCTCTCTCTCTCTCTCTCTCTCTCTCTCTCTCTCTCTCTCTTCTCTCTCTCTCTCTCTCTCTCTCTCTCTTTCTCTCTCTCTCTCTCTCTCTCTCTCTCTCTCTCTCTCACACACACACACACACACACACACACAAAGGAAGCGTGGCTCTGAAGTGACCTTGAACTAGAGGCAATGTGGAGGTTTCTCAGGCTCACTTAAACTGGAGTCAGGAAAAGCACCCCCTGCCCCCCGACCTTCTAAGAAGCTGCGCTGGCTGAGAATCACAGTGTGCAGCATGCCACGGCACAAGCTAGCCTCTTGTGGACAGCTCTCGCAGACTGCGGATTCTGGGGAGCTAAACCCGGCCTTCCCTGCATCCTCAGTTCTTATCCTGGCCGCGGGGGAAACGGAAAACGTGTGTCCTGTCCACTGTAGTTTTCTGTATGAGTCCATGGTCCCCCCCCCCCCTTCCCCCACACACAATAGCCTCTGGGAATCCCCTCAAGCCCAGAATAGGCGACTCCCATCTCCAACTCCTGGAATGGTTGGGCGATTGGAAACCAAGTTATACTTATCCCCCGGCGAGAGCAAAAGCACGTGCCAATTCACTGCGTGTCTCACTGCTCGGGGGTCTCAGCCCATTCCGTTCCTGACACACCTTCCCTGTCTGCCCAGAGAAGGCCCAGTTCTGGCCATAACATGCTTCTATGGCTGTCAGCAGTGGAACCGAGGCTACTGGTCAAGGGCTAATCGCTCCTGTTGGTTCTCTGTCTCCACGTAGCTCCCTGCACATGCCTGCACACAGGCTTGGCTGGGCAGGCGTGGCTGGTCCGTCTCTCCACTGGCTCAGGCCTTTGGGAAGAGCCCAAGGCTTCGAGCACCACAGTACTATGATACACTTCTGAGTGCACACACCCCCCATGAGCACCCATGGATACACACGGAAACTCACCAACTAAAACACAGAAACTCACCAACTAAAACACATAATACAGTTCGGCACTGGTGACCGGGGCGATGGGGGGGGGGGGGGGTATGTCCAAGTAGCCAGATGTGTACTGTGAGAACCATCAATTCTTTTACTTGCAGTGTTTTTAAGACGGCTAGAAAGAGAGAGGGAATGAAACGCCTTTAAGCTGCCTTAGCAATTTTACTGCTGCCCAAAGATGAACAGAGAGATGCTTTTTGCGGGCGGCGGTGGCGGGGTGGACTTAAGTTTCTTCACCTTTGGAGGGAAGAGTCTGGGCTCTGCAGCATGGAAGTCCCCAGGTCAAATCCTGGTCCTTAAGCAAATGAAATTTGAGCCTCAGTCCAGAACTTGGCTAAAATATTCTTTTGTCTCAGGTGAGCAGAATATTGAGACTTGCCAAGGCTGTTGTGGGGTTTGGATAAGGCTACGTGGAGAAGTTATCACCGTCTCTGTGTGCTCTAAACTGCTCCAAACAGGGGGAGCTGGTGACCATCACAGACGGTAGTTAGTGTGTCTCAAAATTCCAGAAGCAACTGGTTGTACTTTTGCACGAACACAGGCACGGGTTTCACATGCACACGCAGGGTTTCCAGCGGACATCAGTTTCTACAAAAAGCTGTTTATGTTTCTCCTGTCCTGCACACACTCACATGCTCCCTGCCTTCCGGTGTCCCCTAGGGATTGTTCCCACCGTCTCCCACGACAACCCTGGTTCTCCCTAGAGCTGCCCACCTCTGCCCCTTCCTCCTCTCAGAGACTTTAGTCCATGCCTCTGCTCCAGGCGGACTCTCAAATGCTCTTGCTGAGGCTCTGTTTGCAAGCCTGCACAGGCATGGGCATGGGTCAGTCCTGAGCTCCAGCCGGCCATTCTACCTTCTTTACCAGCAATTACTACCTCCTCCTCCTCCTCCTATGTCACCCCATGGACCCCCGAGTCTCAGGGCTTCCCTGCACCTCACTCTTCCTCTGCATTCCCAAAGTCTTTACTAGAAGCCCCCACCCCCCCAGGTCTAACCTCTGGCTTTTTGCTTTTTTTTTAGTGACTTTTTTTGGGGCTGGAGCGATAGCACAGCGGGTAGGGCGTTCGCCTTACAAGCGGCCAACATGGCCGACCCGAGTTCGATTCCTCCGCCCCTCTCGGAGAGCCCGGCAAGCT